CACCACACACACCATACACAGTAATGGTGTAATGGTTAATACTGAGTGTCTCCAAGTTCTTCAGCTCTGGAAGTCGGACTGGCTTCTTGCTCTGCAGCTTGCAGACGACCTATTGTGGGATCTTGTGGCCCATGTGAGTTAATACTAACTCCCATATGTAACTCTCATATAACTCCTATTAGTTCTGTCCCTCTAGAGAACCCTAATATACCCAGTCTCAGTAATATCTTTACAGCAGTGTGAGAATGGGCTAAAACAGCCTGCTAAGCCAATTCATCTCAACAATGGGCCTGGAGAGCACGACCTCTCTGGTATCTTGCCGTCTCTCTCTAACTGCGGTGGGGCCAGGGCAATGGTGCCTGGCAGTCATAGGTGCCTTGGCTGACGGAAGATGGAGAGACATGGGAGGCGCTTACAGAACTACAGAAACGTGGAGTGGCAGCAGCCACCATCCAAGCTGCAGCTCTGGGAAGTGCTGAGAAGGCAGAAGTGACTGCTGGGAGGTAGACATGGCTGTGTCAGGATGTGCGATGCTCTTGGCACCGCTGCTGCCTAGTGAGACCAGAGCGGGGTCCCTTCTGCAGGACAGAGACAGACCCAGAAGCAAGGAGGTGCCCAGTGAGTATGGCTCAAAAGGGGTCAGAAGGGCCAGATGGGGCTGCTTGGACTCCAACGCCCATATTCCTCCCACCACACTCTCGCCCTCACACCCTGAGTCCCTCATCAGGGTGTGTTTTGAAAACTGCCTACTATTAACAGTTAATTGCTTCTTTACATTAAAAATAAATAAATGAACCTTTAGCATTTAGCCACTTTCATAGCATCACTTGGTACAGGAGAGGGGAAGACAGAAGAAAGACGAGGACACTGCCCTAACCTCCAGCAGTCATGATCACACTGGCTGAGAAGGCTTCAGTGCTGGGGAGGGAGGGGATGCACTGGTTCTGGGAAGAACAAGAGTGGCTGCAAACGCTAACGTCATGATTTGAGGAAAGGACATTTGATGAAAATAACTAACATCCCACCATGGATGTGGAAGGGTTTTTGCTTCTCGTTTTTAATCCTCATTCAATCCCATTTTAATAATAATAATTGTGAAGGTATCTTCCCAAGAAATAACAGAGCACACTGCTGTAGAAATCCACTTCCTCTCCCAGATCCAGGTGTCCATTTCTCTGCACCCCTTGCGTCCCAAGGCCTGCTGTCCCACAGCAGCGGCCAGCCCTGTGCTGCCTCCAGTCTGCACTCTCTAGCCTACTCTTGTGGCATTTTTCCTCCCCTACATTACACATTACTTTGACTTCAGTTGTCAAATAGCAAAATGACTTCCGCAGGTGCGCATGCTGTAGATTAGAATGCTTGGGTGGATCTGCAACCACACCACCGTCAAGACACCCCCGGCCGCTCCCGCGAGCCCCTCCCAGCCACACTCTCCACAACTCTACTCCCTGGCAAAGGCTCATCTCTGCTCCAACCCCACCTTCTGTCTTTCCCAGAAGGTCACGGAAATGGAACTGGACCATGTGCCACCCTTAGAGATGGGCTTCTGACACTTAGTGTGATACTTCAGGGAACCGCCTGTATGGCGGTGTGTAGCGAAAGCCTGTCCCTTTTTCCTGTTGAGCAGAACTCTACCATATGGATACACCACAGTCTGTATTCATTTGCCCTGGGAGGGACATTTTTGTTGCTTCCGGTTTGGGGTAACGGACAGAGCTACCATAAACATTCACGTACAGGTTTCTGTGGTATCTCACTGGGGCTTTAATTTGCATTACCTAATGGCTGAAGATTTCGAGGATCTTTTCATAAGCGTATCTGCCATCCCCAAATCCTCTTTGGTGAAGTGTCTCTTTGTGTCTTTTGTCTATTTTCTAATTGTTTTTCCCCCTTATTTTTGAGTTTTGAGATATCTTTATACATCCTGGACACTAGTGTCCTTTGTCAGATGTGTGACTTGCAGATATCTTCTCCAAGTCTACAGCTTGTCTTTTCATATTATTAGCAATGTCTTTCAGAGAGTAAACATTTTACATTTGGATGAAGTCCAATTTACAAGTTTTTTTCTTTTGTGAATCACGCTTAGGATGTCATGTGACTGTGCACATTTTCAGTTTTGGAAAGAAACAGGGCAGCAGCTGGTTGTTCTGCCACCAAAATCTTGTTCAAGGGAAGACCTCCGTGTGGTGGGCGGACCACAGTGGGGCTGTCTTGAGACCTGAGTTCTAGCCCAGCCCTGCCCAAACCAGGCAGAAAAGGCCACCCAGAAGCTGAATTGAATGAAATACCAGGTTCTCTTTCAGTAAATAAGGGGGTTTGACTCCAGAACTTCAAAGAATTTTCTGCTGTAATCACTCGGTGGTTTTTAACAGCCTTTCTGCTCTGGAGATGTGGAGCACGTGTTGCTGTCTGAGCACACATGGCTCAACATGTGCCAGCAGAGTCCTGTCTGGAGTAGCCACGGGCACAGGTGGCCAGGAGGGAATGGACAGCACACGCCAGCTGTCCATGGAGACGGGACTCCACACAGAGGTGGAGGCATGGGCAAGGCTCAGGCTCCTGATACCCAGTGGAGGAGAAAGGACAGTGCAGCCCTCCCACCTCCAGAGGATTAAACTGTGGAAATAGCCACAGGGAGGCAAGACAGTTTCTACCAGAGCTGCCTGAGTAAGCCAGCCCAGCTAGGATAAAATGTAACTCGGAAACGCTAATGGATAGGGTTAAGAAATTATATCTATATATAAACATACGCAGGTTAAGTATCCCTTTATCTGAAATGCTTGGAACCAGAAGTGTCCTGGATATTGGATTTTTTCAGATTTTGGAATATCTGCATTATACTTACCAGTTAAGTTCTTTGAATTTATACCTAATCTGAAAACACAAAGTCCAAAATGCTCCAATGAGCATTGTTTTTGAGTAGCATGTCAGTGCTCAAAAGTTTACGATTTTGGCCTGGCACGACCAGAATTATTCACACCTGTAATCCTAGCGCTTTGAGAGGTGGATGTGGGAGGATCGCTTGAGGCCAGGTGTTCAAGACCAGCCTGGCCAATATAGCAAGATGTCCATGTCTATTTTTTTTAATTCATGTAAAAATTTTTTAAAAGTTTGGGGTATTTCCGATTTTGTATTTTTAGATTTTGGATAGTCATTCGCTGTGTGTGTGCGTGTGTGTGTGGCATGTGTGGTGTGTGTGTGCATGTGTGTAGGGTGTGTGTGGTGTATATGTATGTGTGTGTATGGTGTTTGGTGTGTGTACGGCGTGTGTGTGTGATGTGTGTGTGTGGTGTGTGTGTGGTGTGTGCAGGTGTGAGTGTGTGTGTGGCATGTGTGGTGTGTGTGCGTGTGTGTAGGGTGTGTGTGTGGTGTATATGTGTGTGTATGGTGTTTGGTGTGTGTGTGGTGTGTGTGGTGTGTGCAGGTGTGTGTGGCGTGTGTGTGTGCGTGTGTGTAGGGTGTGTGTGTGGTGTATATGTGTGTGTATGGTGTTTGGTGTGTGTGTGGTGTGTGCAGGTGTGTGTGAGCGTGTGTGTCTGATGTGTGTGTGGCGTGTGTGGTGTGTGTGTGCGTGTGTGTAGGGGGTGTGTGTGGTGTATATGTGTGTGTATGGTGTTTGGTGTGTGTGATGTATGTGTGTGTGTGTGGTGGGGGTGGGGGTGGCTGGGGCCAATATATATGGTACAGGTAATAGTTGAAAACTCAGAACACACAGCGGGAAGTGAAACCCCACAGAAAACGCACAGCAATGACAGGGACACAGACCTCATGCAGCAGCTTTGCAAAACTGAAATCTCGTCAGGGAATCAAAGCAAACAGAAGGGGAGGAGAGTGCAGATCATTCGGTCCAATGCTTTTCAATTTTTAAAAGTTCTTTTCCATGTGATGCTTCTCAGAGATTCCACTATCTGTTTAGCCTTTGGAAACAGCCTTCTAAGTCACAGTGTGCACTGTTTGGAAAGACTTTGGAAAGTACCCATATTGGGTACTGCTCACTTAGTACCTCTGGCAGGCCGCTCCACATCAGGACTAGTGTAGCTTCCCTGGCCACAGCCACGTTCCATGGTGGTAGTGAACCACAGTGGAGCTCACTGTACCCCAGTGAATATTTACGTGGGATATTCTTATATATTTCCCTTAATATGCAAGGCAAGTACGTTTTTAGGAGAGAAACATGGAAGTGGGTTTGCTTTTCCTGTCTAATTTACTAAATTCAGGCCCTAATATTAAGATCTAACTTTGAATATTAAGATGCAGAAAACAATTATCTTGCATGTAAATTCTAGAAGAAATGGGGTTCTGAGCCAAAGGATTTAAAATAACTCCAAAGTTCTCCACGCTGCCTGGATGACTCAGGATGAGTCACGATGTATCCGACGCACAAACAAACAGAACAAGGCAGTGCAGGCTGCGCTCCGGGTCCCGAGACACCGCTTCAGATCCGAAGAGATCACAGCAAGAGACAGACCGGAAAGATTACAGGAGGCAAGTGCCACTGACTCTTCGCAGGAGGCCTGAGTAACCTCCGTCATGTCATCACTGGGGTTCTGAAATCAGTTTGCCCTCAGACAGTAAAATGGAAACTGGATGGAGACAGATGGGTAAGGGATGGAAAGTTACAGACTATTAAAGGGACAGTTTCAGAACGTCAGGTAAGCGCTAGCTACGATCGAGCTATCATTTCAGTGGCAGCAGAAATGATTTGTATGCGGAGCAATGTGTTCTTGGTTTGGTTTAAAGTCTGGAGACCTTTTACATTTTCAAAGGAATTGTTTTTTATGATTTTTCTTTTCATATGGCCCATGTTCGGTTATCTCCTGCACTAAGCCCCAGTGTGACAGTCACAAACACAGCCTTAATCAGAGAACAAAAGAACATGCCCACATGAAAGGGAACATGTCCACACTGATAGAAAGTGCTTCTGAGAAGCAAGAGCTTTCAAAAAGGAGAAGAATCTCATCAGGTCCAGAGAGCCACGAGAGCTTAAACATCTTACTTACTTTTCTATCAAATCCAGTGTGACGCCAGGCACCAGACTGACACATTTCTGCATGCAAAACCTGCAGAGAAAGAAAAGAATGTGAACAGCACGAACGGAATAGTCACCTGGAAAATTCAACAGGCCTGCAGAAAAAGGAAAGAGTTAAAGGCGGGACAGAGGCTGCCATGGTGAACCAATACACTCAGATTTCCTTAATTCTGGCAGCTTTTAGATTTGTAAAGAAAATCTCATTGCCATCCTGTCAAGGCGCGAGACTATAGAGCTGCCACGGTGAGTTGTCAGGAGAAAGGAGAGAAGCCGTTTGCAGCCACATGAAGCCCGGTCTCTGGGGAAGAGCGCCGAGATGTTAATAAAGCGCAGTCTCCAAACGAGCTGCTGGGTGGACTGGACTTGCTGTTCTTTCCTTCTGAAGGAAGTGAGCTGGGGAGACTGCTGGAGGAATAAATGAGTAGCCTCGAGGCACACAGAAGAAATGCAAATTCAATTCTATCATTTCCACAATCATAGACTCCTACAGGTCAGAGCTGGCTTCAAATGAGGCGAATCCATCCTTAGGAGTGCTTGAGGAGCCGACAGGCTTTCTCTAACGTGGCGCCAACGGGAGGTAGGAAACCATCTCTCCTCCCATCAGGGAGGCTGCCACACAGTGGGGCAGAATCAAGGCAGCAGATTAAAAAGGCAAGGTAGTATTTTTAGTAGGAGAAATGCAAAATGTTTAATTCCCCTACTTTAAAAATTAAGAACAAATCACACCCCTCAAAAACATAATGGCAGGTGCAAAGCATGTACGCACATCTCCACAATGCACTCAGGGACTGTTGGTTCAAAGTAAAAGATGGAAGAAGCCTGGAGAAGGCCACTGGCCCAGGGGAGGGCACAGTGTAAGGGTCAGGCATATTCCGGGGGAGAAGTGGAAGTGATTCCTCTATGGGAGTGGGGGCCCAGGAGGGCACCTGTAGCAGTGGGTAGGAAATGGGAAAGACACAAAGGACCCAAGAGATCCAGAAGCAGGAAGATAACGAGCCAAGGGTGTGAAGACAGTCACAACTGCAGCCCTGCAGGGCGTGGGGAGGCTAAGCTGGCCGTCCTGGACCCCGTGCGTGGCTGCCAGCCATGCTCACTGTCTCAAGAAGCAATACCTAGCTCTACCAGCAGAGAGGAGGTTATATTCTTGGTTGTGGCTGCAGTAGTCAGTGTTTTATCATTCAAAGAGCCAAGAAAATAAAGTGGGGCCCATGTTTGCCTGAAGCTAGACAGCAGCCCTTTCCTACGGCATCAAGTGCCCTGTGTGGCCCTAATGCTTCCCTAAGCCAGTCGGTGCCACTCAGAGGGGTCTCCTCTGCTGGCTTCACTTGCAGATGCTCTCCTGGGTGGTGCGCAGACACGTGTCTCTCCTGCAGTGCTCCCAGGTAAACTAGAATTTCTCCGTGGATAAAAATAATCTATAGGAAATGCATTTTTGAATCTGAGTCCTATGGAAACCATACTACTTTGTCTTTTTATCCATAATGTACTTATTGATTGGGATTTCTGGAGTCCAGTCATGACAGAGTCACTTACCTCAGACTAATCCTTTTGCCAATAATGATAAGCTCTGGACAAAATATTAAAATGCCATTTGAAGATTTTGATCAACAAACAAATGCAGGCAGGAAATGGAAGGGCTGTGACCCTTAGAAAATGAGAATAAGTCTGCATGAATCACCTTCATCTGGCTTTTCCCAAGGGTGCTGCTCACTCACACAGCATGTGGGGGATAGCATGCAACTAAAAGACAGCAACCTTGCTGGGCTGAGGCCAGGTTCAGGGCTGCCAGGACGCTGCAGGCAAAAGCTCTAGGAAGATGACAGCCAAAACCCGCAGGTAAACCTTCCCCAAGTCAGAGGCTGGCTCCTGAAGGGCACACCTGCAGGATATTCCCAGGATCCCCATGGCAGACAGAAGGAAGGCTGAAAATGCAGAGTAGAGATTTTGACATCCGCTGGCCACAGTGAAGACAGAGGAGATCCAGTCCTGCCAAAGTACAGGGCCTGATCACATCTGAGGCATTCCATGGACACCCCAGAGGGATTACGAACCACACCCTAGAATAAGATCAAAGCTGAAAGAGCCTAGTCCTATAACCAAGCCTCTACAAGATCAGTGTAACTGCCCAAAAGAAAGTAACAGAATCTAGAGTGTCTACAATGTCTCATCCATACCAGAGAGTATACTGTCTAAAATCAAGAGAAAAAACAGTTAATAAAAACAGTTTCATAGTTGGCCAGATTTGGGAATTAGTAGACAGAGGCTTTAAAATTATAAAAATATCTTAATTATTGACTTGGAAGAAAGATTATAAAGCTACTGAAAATATAATGTCCCCTTAAATAAAAAATTAAAATGGGAACATCATGCAACTTTATTATAGTGTGGTTATATGCTGAAGTAGCATGGGTAAATCAGTCACTGATAAAACGCAGACTTCACTTTACACGATAATACAAATTCTCTTTATACCAGAATTGCTACCAACTGGTTTCACATTTTATACGATTTCTTTCATTCGCCTACATTACAATGTTACTGAGCAAGGAAAGGTCAAAGAACAGGCAAAGGTCAAAGCAATAAAAATGGCTCAGCACTTTGGGAGGCCGAGGCGGGTGGATCACGAGGTCAAGAGATCGAGACCATCCTGGTCAACATGGTGAAACACCATCTCTACTAAAAATACAAAAAATTAGCTGGGCATGGTGGTGCGTGCCTGTAATCCCAGCTACTCAGGAGGCTGAGGCAGGAGAATTGCCTGAACCCAGGAGGCGGAGGTTGCGGTGAGCCGAGATCGCGCCATTGCACTCCAGCCTGGGTAACAAGAGCGAAACTCCGTCTCAAAAAAAAAAAAAAAACTGTTCAAAAAATCCACAAAACTGAATACAATAACACAGCTGATATTTAGTGCTTATGATTTGGCAGTCATTGTTATATGTCTTTTATACCTTTTATTTTTTTAATCCTCACAACATTCTGTGAGGTATTATGATGCATTATACAGATAAAAAACATCATAAATTAGGTAACTTACCATGTAGTTTAAGAATATTAAAGATGATGAAAATACATACAAAGCTTCTAGAAAGAACGAGCGGATCACATTCAAAGAAACAAGAATCAGACTAACACAGGATGCAGGAAGACAATGGAGTAGTGTATTTATTTATTTATTTGTGAGACACAGTCTCACTCACTCTGTCACTCAGGATGGAGTGCAGGGTGTGATCTCAGCTCACAGCAACCTCCATCTCCTGGGCTCAAATGATTCTCCTCCGTCAGCCTCCTGAGTAGCTGGGATTACAGGTGCTTGCCATCGTGCATGGCTAATTTTGTATTTTTAGTAAAGATGGGGTTTTGCCATGTTGGTTAGGCTGGTCTTGATCACCTGATCTCAGGTAATCCTCCTGTCTCAGCCTCCCACAGTGCTGTGATTACAGGTGTGAGCTACCACACCCAGCTGGTGTTTTTAATTTATTGAAGAAAAGAAGTTAAAACCTAGAATTTTTGTATCCAGCCAAACTGTCATTCAAATGTGTGAGCATGATAAAAATACTCTCAGAGGCACATATGGCCTCAGAAGACTTGTCACAAAAAGACTCATGAGGAAGACACTTTCAGATGACTAGCTAAAGTTAGAGGGGAGAAAAATCCAAGAGATGCTGAAGGAGATCTATGAAGTCACGATGACACATAACCTTGGTAACACCTGTAGTTGTCTTAAAATGAAAAGCACAAAGGTGGGGGCAATATCTCTCACAACCAGGATTAAAAACCTAGATACAAATCCAAAAGAGCATGAAAAATCTAATAGAAAAATGGGTGAACAGACATTTCAAAGATGAGGAAACACACATGGCCACTGAACACAAGGAAATGTTCAACACCACGAGATATCAGAAACGCAAATCAAGGCTACATGAGATATCATTCTAAACCTCCTCAGTTAGCAAAAGTGTACACGAATGGCAATGTCAGGTACTGAGAAGGACGTGGCTCACAAGCCATCTCCATCACCACTGCAGGAGTGTAAAATGACACAGCCACTGGGGAAAACACCTTCCCATTATCTCTTAAAATTGAACTTTCCCATACACAATGATTTGGCAACTCTACTTTCCAGTATCAATGAAATTCTTGCACGTGTTCAAAAGAACATACGGACAAGAATGTTCAATGTATCACTGGGCAAAGCAAACAAACAAGGGGAAAAGCTGGAAAAGCTCGAGCGTCCCTTCAAGAGCAGCAGGCGCACAGACGGTGTGTTCGCAGAGTGGAATGTTACAGGCGGTTAGAGGGGAGCGCTCTGGCTGTCCACATCAGTGTGGAGGAACGCTAGCAACACAACCTAAGTGGAAAATGTCCACATTTCAACCAAAAGTATCTCTTTAAAAGAGTCCTCAAAATCACATTCAGCATTAAAGCTTTTAACACGTTTAAAATCTGAAAGAAAGGTAATGATCTTAATGACTGCACAAGATACATGGTAGCAATTTAGAAAGGGCATGGAAGGGATGATGAGCCTAGCACTCAGGGCAGTAGTCACGGGGTAGGGACGGCAGCACGTGTGTGTCAAGGGCCCTGTGTGGTGGGCACAGGTAATCACCAAGGTCTGGGTTTTGGTTGGGCGGTGGTCTGCGGAAACGCACTGTGCTATATAAACAACTGTTAGCTAACTACATACTTAAAAGGAGGCCAAAGACTGACTAGTGATGAGTGCGGCATGAAGCAAGAATTATGACTGATCCACGCTGGGTGTGCAAACAAGTGGCTTCACAATTTTCATGGCGTTACGTTAAGTTTGGCCTAAAGTTGCCTCCATACATGTTTTATGGTTTCATATACGTAGTGAACTGTAACCTGACCTGATGTGTACACAGCTTACAACCTGCTCTCGTGACAGGCAGCTGAGTCTCAGACCACCACAGGCAGCCAACAGTTCAAACCGGGCTCAAACAAGGCAGACACCCAGCGGAAGCCAAACCAGCTGCAGCTGCAGCTTCCTTTCTGCCCACGAATGGTATCCGGCCA